TTACCTGGACGATGGAGTTTATCAGAAATGCCTTTCAATCAAGCTTACTGTCCGACTTTGTTGAAAAACTACTCTCTTCAATCTTACTTAATTGCTCAAGAACACAAGAAAATAAATAAGCACTTCCATAAAGTTCTTTATTAGCAAGTACGGTCAAGACCGTCCAAAGACTAGTGACAAAAATCCCACTACTGACTATTGATATGTCTGACACTTACAGCATTGTATATATTCCAGCTTACCTGGAAGTACTAAAAGAAGCCATTGAAGCAAAGATTCTTTCTCAAGATTCACATAAGGCGTCAGAACTGCGGTAAAGTTCCGAAAATATGAGATCGGAGACGGACACCTAAAATCTGAAACGTGTACCACTTATGGGCCTTAAAATCGTGGCGACATGCGAACATACATGCCCTCATACGCCATAAGTACATACAGAAATAAAGTTATGGTTAGCGAGTTTACAAACGTTTCGGTGTGTAAATCTCTTTCCTTTTCTATGCGAATATAGATTTTTTTAACTACCCATGAAAATAATTGGAAAAGAACCTCCAGGATGCGTCTTTGGATCCATAACTTTACAAACAGCAACCTTACCGACAGAAGGGGACGTTGTCTCGAGAAGTTCTTCAGAGATGTCCGATGGAAGATTGCTCCGCACACACGCACTCCATACAAACCATACATGTTTCTTGGAATCACTGATATATCTTTGTGCTGCAAAGATTTGGACGTTTTGGTCGATGGTTCTTCATACTGTGACAATTCTTCTGAGCTACTCATCCTGAAAGTGTATAGGAAAACAGACTTACAAATTTTCAATGCACTGATGAGAGAGCCATCCAAACAAACGAATTTAACCGCATTTAGATGGCATAGCATAAATTCAGTATTCAATTGCCGTTGTTAAAACAGACTGAGCACTTTGATGTTAACTAAGCTCCCGCAATTTAATTAGAGAAAGAACTTCAAAGATCACCTACCTGTCCTATACACGAGAGATTGATCGAAGCTTTACGAATAGGTCGTTTGCAGTTCAAACAGCGTGCAAACAAACATGCATGGAATATGTTTCCAGGCCTGGTTACAAGATAGCCGAACTCATGGACCTTCCCTTGGTATCCCCCGGATATGTGTGTCCCCGGGTGGGGTACACTTCGATATTTTGTAAAGGTTTAACGAGAAAGTCAGCATGAACACGGTACAAAGCGGACGATTTAAAAGGTTTGTGATCACCATCCCGAATCTGTTTGCTGATCCGTTTTGCAGGCATTGTTGTCCAGGCCAGGAAGCTTGTATATCGACGACAAATGGTTTTGTCTTGACTGTTGGGATGCGTTTGTTTAATTATTTAATTACACATTATTTCTTGAGTTGATCCCTCCGGTAACTGCTCTCCTTGGTTCGGACGATCAAAAAGCGGGCGAGTGANGAGAAAATATCGGGACCCAAACGATCCATTAAGATCACCGATCACTTCACGTGCACCTCCGCCAATGTAATCTATTGCATAACTTGCACTTATTGCAAAAAGATTTACATCGGCGAAACAGGCAGAAGACTAGGTGACCGATTCCGAGAACACCTTCGCGACGTGGAGAGGAATGACAAGGACACATCGAAACCAGTCGCTAGACATTTTAATTTACCTAATCATTCTAAGCAACATATGGCAATCTGCGGTCTTTCCTTACACTTAGGTAGCACGGAAAGCCGTAAAACTCTTGAACAAAAGCTCATCTTTCAAACCGGCAGTCTAAATCCCACAGGTATCAACGAACGCTTTTCATTCCACTAATTTATTCGTGTTTTTCTCGTTGCCATGTTCCCACCAATCACGTAGCTCCATTTTCTGCCTTTAAAAGCACACACAACCCACAATTCCTCTATTCGCTCCGACGAAGGGCTAACGCTCGAAACGTCAGCTTTTATAACCGTAACGGTGGCCAATTTACCATTTCAACTTTGTTGATATATTCAAATTATTTCGTTACCCCCACCGACGCAGCCCCAAACAGTTTCTTTAGAAACCAGCAGCCTCCTTCCATAATAAACTTGTTTTAATTCTAATATTCAATATAACTTCTATTTAATGACTTCTTTTGATTATAATAAAACAATTCTATCAGATTAGAATTAAGTGTCCGCTAACGTGCGTATAACATCAAGGCAAACACTAGTTTCATAGAAAATACATTTTTAAATAGAATCGTTCACTAATAAATATCCTGTTAATAATGAATTATTATTGTTTGTGTCACGATGTAGTCACTTGTGATGTGGATCGCGATCCACATCACAAGTGACTTTATCGCGAGATGAACGATAATACTTTGTTATTATTGTACTTTACCAAGATGAATAAGCACAACCTTATTTACGAAATACCTTGTTCTTTTCAAATCAAACATTGTTTTCACAACTTATGGAAGAGTTATATTTACTTCAGATGCAGCACTACACAACTGAAACTGGCGCACTGTTTGATGACAATTGCTACGACCACAAGAGAGGTTTAGCTGCTTAGTTATGGTTGGTTTGGGCGGGTTCCAATTGCATTTTTACAACAATCGTTGAGGTGAATCTTGTACACCACGGGAAAACGATCGCCAAATATTGCTGGCCTCTAAATGTTCATAGGACAGGAACCGTTATCAACCCTTTAAATCACTCACTGTGAGCGACTTTCGACAGGAAAACCTCAGAAACTAATTATATCTTTTTAGGGGGAGGAACGGAGGAGAGGGGGGGGAAGGGAGATGATTGACTATTCCATCCATTGAACAACCAGGCGGGTACCGGCCCGGTCCAGCAAGTACGGACCACTAACACGAAGACTACTGACTGTTACACACTAAAACTACTGGTGTGGAAGATTTGTAACCATCTACAAAGTATTATGAAAACCATACTTTGCGGCAAGGGTGTCATGAGAAAGTTTGGAAGAAATGCCGGTGAAAATCTGTGTTTAACATTAAGAATCTATCACTACCTGACGAAAACCATTGTCGATAGCACGAAAATGGACTAAACTGAACTCGGAATGTTTGGATTATTCTCTGTATGATAGTTCTCTACAATCCAATTAAGAATCTATTCATGTTAGGAAACTTTAAATACGCACCTGTGCGGCTCATATCCGATCTGAAACTTTCACATTTTTTTCGCAATGCATTGGAAATTTTCTTTGAGAACATTTTGACATTTAAATGGCGCATCAGTGTGACAAAGGATAAAGCTATATGGATGCTTTCTTCATGGGTTGAACCTTTTTTGACAAAAGCAAAAAGGCACGGACGGGGAAGGGGGGGAAGGTGATTCTTATGTTACTATACATTTTCTACTCTATCAAAACCAGAACTACTCTCACACTGTGGTCCATGTCATGCTACTCGTCGAGTATTTGACGGCACCCCGCGGATCAGAAGGGTTCGACACTTTTCGTGACTGTGGACACGAGGCAGTTCTACCCACGGGTTCTTTTATGGGAAAATCTTTGTCAAAAGTGTCACGTGACTCGAGCGAAAAATCACTGCACTGCCTTGCTATGGTGATTTCCTCGTCACTGGAGTTGAGAGCAATTCTTGGTGCCATGGTAACATCATCCATTGCTTTACGCGTAAGAGGTGGATCAAGAAACTGTCCCATTAGGGAAATTGTTGATATTTTATACAACGAAGTTTTTTCCTGTGTGTTGCTGGGAGATGGCGTTTGAACGCCTCCGGTTGCTTGAGTTGTTGAGTTCGATGATTTGGGTGGCGACGCGCTGAAGTATATGTCCGCCTGATCGAGTATAAGAAACAAAGGTATTGTGTTGTAAGGCATTAAATATGTTTAAGCGGTTAGTGAAGTCGTACAGAAATTGAGCAAATAACTTGTTGGTGTTGATTACCTGTTACTAAACGAATCTTTAATAGATAGTGCCACTTGTTTTTTTTATTGAGCATAAACCTACCTACGCAGTTTCTTACCTTTGCTGAAATGAGGGAGACTTTGGGTAACACGAGCGTGTGCACCAAGTTTGCGTTGACAACAAGACGTATTTCGATGGTGTTCGTTGTGAAAGCCAGCAAATAGGGAAATGCACACACTAGAATAAAGGGCACAGAGAAAAGAAAAATAGGATGCATCGGATCACAAAAATAGTGGTGGGTTCATTCCTTTATTGGGAAGCCAGCAAGACTTTCTTGTGCTGTAAAAGGACAATGAGATAAGCCAAATTGATTATGAACGGGGCCAAAACGTTTTGGTCCAAGGAGTCCGAGACATACGGCCCCACAGCGTTTATCCTGTGGCCGCCGTAGAAACCCAGTATTTTTTATGTCTTTTCCTGACTAGTTTTTGTAGGCAACTACACACACTCCTTAGTGGAGGGGGGCGCCTTGAGTATGCATTGTGTTGTCCAATGAACACAATAGCCTTGGATCTACCGTGTAATTGTCTAAAAATACTGAACTTTATGACAAAGAAAAAAATTGTGAAGATCTTTAAATATAACTTCAACTGTGGAAAGAACACTCCACATTGAAAAGTTTTCATTATCTACGACAAACGCGACTATGTGGACGATATTCTCTCAGGGTGCCAAAATTAAAATAAGCAGCAATGACTTACCAACTGAATTTGGAGCCGAGTTCCACTGGAATGAAAAGTTCGAGGATTGCTCTCCTGTCAGCCTTTTAAATATTGATTGGTCTGTTGGACAAAAACCCCTCGGTTAGATCGTGGGTGTGGTAACGACAGTGAATGAAAGACTCCACAGAGTAACACACGCTCAGCAGAAAACTCAATGTTGTGGTAATGTTGGTGGCTCGTGGTCAAGAGTAAAATAAGGAAGAGGAACTCATTGTTAGACCCTACTCGCGGGTTTTCCCCTCAAACATTTATTTTCCTTTCCATTTCAAGCTGGCTGTATTTCCTTTCTTCCCCATCAATTATTAGAGGGACGCTCAATCTTTATGCAGACCTCTCGTCTCTTTTAATCGGTGGCACTGTTAAAGATATCATAGTATGGTTTGGTTTTCAGATGACTTACGATTAAAGGAAATAAGTAGCTCTGACTCCTCTTCTTCGTACACGTCCACTGCCGAGACAAGAGTGGCTTTCTGCGAAGAAAATAAACAATGTTAAAATCCTCATGGACGATGGCAGAAAAGTTAACTAATTTGCAGTCAAGGGGTTTATCCGGTGAGAGCCCGGGTAAAAGCCTGAATTGAAGTTTAAGGGCGACTTCACCTGTCGATCTGGATAAGGGTACAAAAGATAAAGTGTTTTACTGTCACTGAAAAAAAAATGGATATCACACTTACAATAATCCTCAAACGTTAATATCATTACGACAAAGTTGTGCAAGTTAGAACAAGCTGAAGAATCCATGCATATCATTGGAATTTTCTGATTGTTGCGGAAGTCACCCTACCTTTTGTTTGTCAATACTATGTATTTTGGATAAGTCTCCTGCTTCGCTGATAAGATCAAACTGATTCTTGTAACCAACACAAAGAAGACTTTCTTGAGCACTTGCGTAAACCAACGTCATTAAAATCGGCGCTTCACCAACTGTCACTTCCTGCACAGAAAGTAAGACGAGTATTTCGAGAAGCAGTCAGTGGAGGATTTTGTTTAAGGTATTTGCGTCGTCACGCAAAAACTCTCAGATCCTTGTGACTGAGAAGAAGAAGAAGCCTAGGAATGTTGGGTATGGAAAGAGGAAGCAAGAGAAAAAGGTGGGGGGGGGGAGTGGGGGGTTGGAATCTGTCCCAGCCACACTAAACAAGTATCAGTTTAAATAGTTTAATTAATACCTTGATGATCTCAAATCCATCCGCCACATCTCTGATGTTTCCGACGGTCCAAGTGCTCCATACCACTGGATGCTTCCAACGTAACAGTGCTACTTTCCTTCCAACAGCCACTGCCAGCTTCAGCTCACCATCACCCGACTGACTCACGGCGAACAAATGGCATCCTAAATATGAAATGAACATAACGAAAATAAAAAGTTTTCTTTTTATTTGGCTGGATCTGGTATCAAAAAATTGGTAACAGATAACTAGGTGACCATTTATTCGGGATGTTCTTTACTTTAAAATGAACTGTTCGCCTGAAGTGGTTCTGAGAGATTCTCTTTTCTTATGCTTACCTTTGCTTTTCTCGACTCTGTGATTTTTGCAAAACTGCCTGTTCTTTGGTTCTTCGTCCTCGTTTTCGAAGTCTGTCAGTTTGAAAACGTACACCTTGGAGGAGTGGAACTCTTTACCTTTGTCCACTCGAAAAAGAAGAAGCCCAAAAGCTTCCACAATACTGATCTGTTTCGCAACCACTGATTTGTCAAATATATAGCGACTTTTTGCTCCTGAAATAGAAAACCAATACAGCTTCAGAAGTTTTTGACAAAAGAAGACAGAAAATGGCCACAGGAAGGAAAAGTCATCCATGCAGACCGATTGTTCATCCCGGAGTAAATGAAAAAACCTGGTCAGTAACTAATATAAAACCACTCCTAAGCTTAGGTAACAAGAGAAGACTGAAAATAAAATACCAGTAAACAAGTTCAAACTTTTAGTCTGTTGTCCGGAAGGTTGAGGGTTCGACTCCTGTTCGGAATTGCCAATGATTGCCACTTCTAACAGCACAACCGAGGTAAAGTACACAGCAAGATCAATATAATCAAAATAAACATTTAACTTGTTATTGTTACCTTGAAGCATTTGAATGCCATCTTCTGTTCCCAGAACTAAACTATCGCCTGTAAATTAAAGCCAAATAATAAATAATTCGTTCAAAATATACGAGGTGAGACAGGAAATTTCCTCCATGTATTCGGCGGGGAAACAGGGATGTAATATGGACAAGAGAAGGAATACGTCGCGGCTGCTGAGCCAGTCCATGTCTGCCAGGGTCAATGTCTAAGGAGACCCAGCACAAAGGGGCATTGGTTACCGCTCACCTGGGGGGGGCGAAAGGGAGAGGCGAGTTTAGTTTGCACCCGCGTGCCCCATGATTCTTGCCTGTTTGACGAAGCCGGAGACTTAAAGGACAACTTGTAGCAAACCTATTTGATGAAGGCTTCGGCGATTTTAACGATTTCCTTCATGTTATGAGCACAAGGAGAAATAAATTTGCGGAGAAACCTTTTTGGATGGAATAAATATTCATTGAGAGACATTATCTCCAACGACACCGAAGTGCACAGGGAGACATAACCTTCTGGTGTACTGCTGAATATAACTTAACTGAATTATCAACTTACCCCAGGAATCCCCACAAAATATCTTTGTTGAAAAGTCCTCCAAAATACACTGAGGCTTCCACGGCTACAAGTCGAAGAGGAAAACAGTTAAATCAACGGCTGCGATCAAGAATGAGATGACACTATGCCCATTTACTTTTAAAACTGAATCACATTAAAAGTTAAATGCATACCTCAACTTTCAAGTTCCCTGAGGTACTCGCTAGACTTGTTGGTGCATTACCTTTCACTATTTTAGTTAGTTTTAACGACTGGGGAGAAACGAAAAGATCATTCTCTCAGAGACATATTCCATCAGTTTTAAACCATACGTATAAATTAAACGTAACATTTCAGAGATAAACATTTTGATTAATTGCATCACATCTCATGTCCGTTTAACTTGCTACTTGCCTAGGTTTGGTTCAGATGACGAGGAGGTACCCCGGGCTTTTTATTTCATTCTATTTCCTTTTTGTGTTTCTTTGTTGTTGTTAATTTTTTTTATCAATTTTGTTTGACTGACGCACGGTAAGTTATAGAAAAATAAAAGAAATTAAACGTTAAATGTAATTTCGGTCAATAACACCGGTATATATTCAATTCATCAGACTTATTAGATTCTATTTATCATAATCAGCAGACACATTGAGTTTAAATCGCAAGATCACCTGGCCGAACTGAAGAAAAGCTTGTTCTCTTTCCATTTCTTTCCGTCGATTGCCGCGAGATTGATCCGTGATGACGTCATTCCATGATTTACGGGCGCCAAGTTTCTGAATTCAGGAGAAATCAAAAGTCAGAAAAAAAAAATTGAGGCTGTTTTTAGGTTATCAACAGCAAGCTCTCCTTGAAAGATATCATGCCTATTACCATATCAACGTTATGTCGATCCTTTCAGCTGCTGAACGTACTTGCCAATGAACGAAAAACGACTGATCAGGGCATTCTCTGATAGAAGTTTAACGCGTTCTCTCGGAACTACTCATTACATGTTGTTTTCCCGCTAGAATGTCCTTAATCATTAGACAATTGTCCGACGTCTCGAGTGAAGCTCAAGGCTTGAAGAAAATGGCTTACTGTAAATAACCGAAGATTTGTCCTAATTTCTTGTCCAACAAAACTTTTGAATTTTGTTACACACGACGACTCGTCTCGAAAGAGTTCCGCCCTTGTTCGCTGTCGTAACCAATTCAATACGAATGCAAGATAGAATAAAAGTTTCATTCTCCTGTCCCTCACGTAGAAATGTTCTTATAAAGGAAACTGTTATACCTCGTGGATGTGGTCCTGAAGGAGCCTGGTTATAAGGCTGTCCAGCGTTCGCTGACGTCTGTTACTGAACGTAGGAGATCCGTAGGCGGCCTTCTCCCCATTCATTACTGAAAACAGATAGAGGGAAAAAGTTCAATGACCAGACGACAGAGAGAAATGTTACCAGAGGTTAACCAATAGACAGAAGACGGTCTTACATTTGACCAGAAGAAAGTCTCTGAATTCCTGATGATTACTGAAAACCGGCGGGCATGGTAATGGTGGACCAAAGATTGGCACATTCTTTTCAGAGAACACCGTCAACCTGTCAAACAGAGAACACCACATTATCTCGTTTCCCATTTCCGTATGAATTTCAAGAGTACAGTAAAAACTCGCATACAAGAACACCCATTTTCGGGGTTCAGGCTGATTGGGTTCTTATATATCGGGTATTTTAGGTGAAATCAGCCTGAAAGGGTTTTCAAGTGTTCTTAATTTTTTACTTCTAAAAAAATGTAAGGGATTTACTAACTGTGATGAAATACATAACTTATAATTGTAAGACTTTTAACTCCAAATACAGTTGTTGTACATTTGCTATACACAGCATGCGAAATTACTAGCATTTATACAGAGATCTTAGTGCAACACCACAGTAAAGCTACAGACACTGTTTGTTCTATTAAACTGAAAAGGGAAGAGTTTTTATAAATAAGAACAATTTTCAATTTTCAGGCTGAATGTGTTCTTATATATATGCTCCTTTTTTTACCAAATTTCAGCCTGGGTGTTCTTAATCCACATGTCCTTGTATGCGAGTTTTTACTGTAACTCACAAAATTGTATCAAAACTAAGTAGCTGGAGGTCTTACCGATAACTGTTGTCCAATTTGTTGTAAGATACAAGGGCGTAAATGTCTTGCAGAAAGTTAAGGGTATCAACAGTTGAATGCTAAGCCTTACTTCTACCGATGAATAAAGGCTGATAGTTTCTAAAGAAACTGTTTGGGGCTGCGTCGGTGGGGGTAACGAAATAATTCGGATATATCAACAAAGTTGAAATGGTAAATAGGCCACCGTAACGATTACAAAAGCTGACGTTTCGAGCGTTAGCCCTTCGTCGGAGCTTACTTCTACCGGGCGAGTTCAACTTTGTCTTCTTTCAGGAGAAGAGAAGGTAATTATTTCGAGCTAGTTTACACATCATGCCCATTCCTTAGTTACCAATAAAGGATACGAACAAACTTGGATTTAATGGCTGGAGGACTAAACGAAGACTTCCCATCCCAGTCTTGGAAGACAATAATGACGATGTCATTTCCTATGTGGCGTTTTCGCTCCACCTAAAATGGTAGGGAAAACACTTCATTACAATTTACACTTCGTTATAATTTACACTTTATTATAATTTAAAATTGCGCCCCTGAAAATACCAACCGCAGATAGCAACTAAAGGCTTATTTGTCAAATATAGGTCGGCTTTCCCTTTTGGGATGTTTACCGATTTTCTCCTTCCATCCTTTAAATGTAGCATGAAACAAACTATCCAAGCCTACAAAAAGAGCTTTTATACAAAGATAGATTCAAGATTCTGGGAAATACTGCTAGCGTGTAGATTAACTGAAATCTGATGAAATGCTAACCTGTTGTGGATTGTCTGGTGTGAAAGGCAGCAAAGTGGACACATGGAACATAATTTCATGTCCTTCGTACATTGTGTAAAGAGACTGAAAGCCAGTCATATTGTCTAAAATACACACAAAAAAAATAAAGGAAATACAATTAGAAATCCAGAAGAGGTGGATGCAATTCAAAGCAGGCGACCGGATATTTTTATATCAGCTTGAGACACCGAAGAAATGGTGTTGCCTATTATATAAGGTGCCACTAACACTGACACCATCAACAATAACGAGTAATACAATGCCGAAACCATGAGTTGACAAGTTGTTCGGAGCGGTACAAACGTTGAACACTTAGCCAGGGTCATTTCGATGAGTTCTGGGGCGATCCACTCCATTCTCAAAATGTTTCGATGACTCAGGAGTATTGACGGGTCTCAGCGAAATTGTATCCGTGGTAAACAAGGGAAAAGTTTCAGGGCTATTTGCGGTAACCCGGTATGATTTCCAGCAGGATGCCGGGAACCAAACACCAAACGCCCTTATATTTTATTTACTGAGATCAGAGCCACCTGACTCAAGATGGCAACCAATCGGAAATCAGAACTACACACAACAATAGCTTCCTACTTGTTCAAAGCAAGTTAATCAAATCTAGAGTAAGAACGATGCCATCGCAACCTGTTCGTTGAGCAGTAATGTCTAAACTGCCGGGTGGCAGTGCCAATTAAGAAACAATTAACAATACAAAAAAAGAAAAACAATAACAGTGGGTTGGTTTTTTCTATTTTTGCACTTACAAAGGGTGTGAACGGTTTGTGTTATCGCACTACGAAAAACACTTCAAATGGTCTTTTGCCTGGGGTGGACTGGTTAAGTAGATCCACTTTTAAATTAACTACATTGGTACAAAAGAAAACCTTTTACACTTATCAGACCTACTTTTGACGTCGAGTCCCCCACGATACTTTTGCCAGCCCTTAAGTTCTATCTTGTCACCCAGCAGTTCTAAGAAACGCTCGAAATCTTCGCTAACTTTAACTGCAAAAGATGAGACATAAAAATACCATAAATGGACACCCTGCCCCGCGAATCCCACGGTCAATTTCTACAAACAGTTCTTCACTCGCTTTATACGAGGGATGCATCAACGCTTGATCCCGAAAGTTCCTGTATCAGAAAGAGTTGACAGTATATAATAACACAAGTCACACAAACGTTTCTGGAATGATGCACGCAGAAGAATTAGAACTCACGCGATAACAACCCAACAAATGTCTCTGGGGAGAGTTAACCTCGGCGTAACACATTATCTTTAGGGTGTTCAACACCCTCTCTGCAGAACAGTGAGCTCTCTCAATGACAAGACATTACCACCACCGTGGTTTCCGAACACAGCGCTCGGGTGTGTCAGGAAACTCATCGCTACTTCATTACGAGCGTGCGAAAATTCTAGTTGGTATACTTTTTCGCGGACTGAACAGCTGAAAACTTTTCAACATTGGAAGAGCCTTAGTCTAAAAAATACCTCCGATACATCTTTTACAGACAATTAGTTCTATCAATCAAAAGACAATCAACTCTAAAGCTAACTACGGTGAATAGTGACAATATTTACCATTACTAAACATTTCATCATCAGTTGTTTGTCCCTCTTTTGCATACAGAACTCCGAACTTGAAGTTTACAGATCCCTGCAGAAAAAAAAGGCATAAAAGTTTTCACACGCTTTACTGAGAGATGTTGCCATACTATCCAAATTGGAAATTCAGAATTAACACAATACAATGTACAACTTGTTTTACCTCCTGTTCTTCCAAAACTAGCAATTCCTACAGAAAAAAAAAAAAATAAGTAAACGGCCTGTGTATTAGTAAAGAATGTGAGACACTCTCCTACAATATTGGGGACTGGGCTGAGATACAAACTGAAAATCCTCCGAGGTTTTGTTTCATTTCAGGTGTAATGCGAAAAGACCTTCAGCTTCGTATGCCTAGTTCTGAAATAAAGGTAATTGTGCCTCGCCTTCTGTCTCCTTTCGCAATGATTATGTAGAACTTAAGAGCATGGACGAAATTATCTCAAATCTTGTTCAATGAAAAGGGGGTTTTCATGATACTTTCGATTTGAGACTTTTTACGACGAAGTAACTTAGAATTGCCAAAAGGAAATTTTCAACAACAAAAGGAGAGAGCAATTTAAGTCATTTAAAGACTGGAAAAGGTTTGAAGCGGCTGCAAATGACGATTTTAAAAAAACTTACGCTATAAGATGCTCAGACTGTTATGGACTCTTAAAAAGCTATGTTCTCTGTACAATTAGTTAGTTATTGGCTTTAAATCTAGACTATTAATAACTACTCAACATATTAACGGATACACGCACATTGGTAATGAACCTAACCTTTTGCAGTTCCGGGTTTAGGACCTCTCTAGGACCTTTATCAAACTTGTCAACACCATAAGCTCTAAGAGACCCAAATAAACAAAAATTTAAGATAATTGACCGACTTAAGGTGTCTACGTAAATTTTGCGCGAGTGTGAGTGGGAAAATAACGCTGATAGAGAAAGGATCTACAGCCGCAGGCACAGACAACACACGAGTTAAAAAGTATGTCTATGAAACCTTTAGCATTTCAAATAAACTTAATGACATAAAAATGCGTTATAATATTGCAGGTTTTCCATAAATTAACCAATCTGAACTTCTTCCCTTTCATACAGTGTTCTAGGAATAACTTGAACATGATTAACTTCAGAATTTGCATTTCCTTCATTAGGGTCAACGTTCCTCTCTCAGTGTTCAGTACTTTTTCATAACCCTTGAGTTCTATGTTTTTCGCATAACAACTCTGAGTGAGTGTACTATGCAGTTTTCTAGAGATGTCATCTCTCAGTCTTAGTATCATAACATCTTTTTGATATAAGTCCTTGAGTAAGAAATGCTACTTACTGCAGTACAGTCTTGGGAGAAATAGGTTTATTTGGCTGGTATGGAATGCACAGTTTCTGACCACCCTAAAATCAAAGATAAAATCATTATGTGTTTTCATTGTTGTTGTAAGAAACAACTATCGGTATACAGAAAATAAACAAATTCAGAACAAGACCCAAATAAGGATATTACAATTTAAGTACTAATACTACAACATAACCAACTGTTCCCTATTATAAATATATCATGAGCCTTGCTATAATTTCTGACAAATCTAGGTATAAGAAAAGCATTTGTTCTTCTAAAAAGTAAAATGAATTACAGAATCAATTGATTTGAATATATCAACAAAGTTGAAATGGTAAATTGGCCACCGTTACGATTATAAAAGCTGACGTTTCAAGTGTTAGCCCTTCGTCGGAGCGAATGCAGAATCCAGAATCCAGAATACAAAATACAGAATCAAGTGAATGAGAAAACAAGAGAAACAGCCCATAATTCACTGTATCAGAATGTACAGGTCAAGAATTCCTCTAAAACCAAAAACATGTTACAAGGCTTACTGTTTTTCTCCAAAGAATGGCTCTGTATTGCGGAACACCATAGTTATCTGAATCTGTCAGGCAAACAGACAGAACAAAAGGACTCTTCCTTCCATCGATGCCAACAAAATTCTGATGAACTATCAAAATTGGAATCATACAAATACAACAAAGTGATCAAAACTGTACTCTTTCAAAGCCAGTTACAGTACCTGAATAGAACCAATCAATCTAAATAAGGCCTCAGAAAATTAATATGAACACTTACTACTTACTTTAAAATAGTTGTTTACTATGTTGTGACCAAACTTTAAAAATTCAAGGTATTTTTAAAAGATAGGGTTTTCAACATGATCTCTTGCTAAATGTATGCACTAAAGGATTAATTGTCAAATGCAAAAACAAACCAAAATGAGGGAAATCTATGGCAAAAATAAAAGGTTACCTTTTCCAAGAAAATACTTGAAATACCATCTTGTTTGGAACTCAGGATTCTCAAGGTGTACCCCACTTCCTTGCCTTGGGACTAATCCATTCTTAAAACAGGAACACGTAATAGAATTAGCTAAAATGCCACATAATACTTGTGAGTAGAGGACTAAAGGGGGTGCAATTTAAATTGAGAAAATAAGGGAACTCAATTGACCCATAATATCAGAACATGCAATAGTCTACCAAAAATCAAGTTTAGTGCACAAATTCCACCCTGACATCGGCTCCTTTTTGTGTCTTTTCATTCTACATATGGTGCATCATAGTAATTTCTACCAACTAAAATGATTATTACTAAATTCTGTAAGATTTTTTAAAAAAGAAGAGGTTGCAAGTCCCATGAGGAAAGATGAATCAGGGTAACGAGTGTCAAGAAGAAGGACGATTGCAACAGAAAGGCCCAGAATTGGGATAAAAGTCTGATTTCTTAACCTCACAAACATCTTAGCTGGCTTAGTGCACCATCTCCATATATTTCTACATTGCAACTGAATAGACCTGCCTTGAAAATTTTTCTTTTTCATTAACTGTTGTTGCTCAATTTTTAGACACTGACCTGTGGAACTGATGGCTGCATTCCAATTTCACCACTTTCCATTCTGAACCGCCCTGCATTGTCACTCAAGTCACTTCCACTTTGATGCAGACTGTTCAGCTGCAAAATAAAAACAGATGAGATACTGGTTCTATGACAACTAAACACTACATTATCAAACACCATGACATCTGAATGTCAATTATTGTAAACTTACAGCTTCCAGGGAGCCATAATAGTGTTTTCGACTCAAGCCAGATCGTCGACCAATATCAGGAGAAGGAGCACTAGCAACAAGAAAGTGAAGTGTCATTGGTGAGTTGGTCTGTAGTTTTACAAAGATAGGTTCCATTTAAAATCCTAATGTAAACCAGCTTCATTGGCCAGCTTAACAAATTAAAATTTCAACAAAAACATCAGCAACCCTTCCAGCCATCATAACAGTTATTATCATCACTATTGTATTGATATAATTATTCTGTAAATGAATAGTCTACAGTTATACAATATTGTCCATGCATGATTTAGCTCTTCCCAAATACCAAGAGGACAGTGAGGAATAAAGCTAAAAAAACTCCAAATTAAATCAAAACTTTTTTGTTGAAAATGCAAAGGCTGAAGAGACATCAGAGTAATTTTCTGTAAAGAAAGACACAAAATGAGGCATCTTCTCTTGCATGAATGTTTATTTTTCAGAACATTAAAAAAAAAATCACAAAGTTTATCTGTTTAAATTGGGTAATGTTGTTCAAGTCTAAACCATCATATATATTATGCCTAAAAATTGCTGGCAAGAGTTGATATTAAATAATCAAAATTATTCTTCCCAGGTTTTCACTCTTTACCTCCCACAAGAGACCAAGACAGAATTCCTCCTTACATTATCAATACAGTATCAAGCAGATAATGGATGAGAATGAAGAAAAACTAGGGGATTATCAGTTGATCCAATACCAAATTCTCCATACTTGCAACATAAGAATTGAATGGTAGACACTAAGGAGATCTTGGAAGTGAAAGGGTTGAATAAACCAAATAAACTATTTAAAACGTAAATCTCCAATTTGCATATTTGTGGTGTTTTTAAGTATCCCTTGTGCAACAAATATCTGTTGCCATTTAGAGCATGGAAATTATAAATACTTAACTAGTTTTCCAAGCAACTTAACAATGCCTTTCTCTGTTGCCTCTTAAAACAATTTTATCTTCCAAACTTTTGAAAGACTTTTCATGACTAAAAAGTTGTTGTTCTATAAACCAGCAGACAAAAACTTGAAAATGTAGCTCCTAAGTAACTGGAATTGTGTTTCATTGTATTCAGTTAGATTTTGATAATGGCAGCTAATGTAAACAACCAACAAAGTAATCTATTGCCTAACATTGAACCAGGTGACTTAACAGATGACAGTGGAGGGAACTTGAGGACATAAACAAAAATATTCCCCTTTGGCAAAAATTCAGTGCCTATTTTTTAATGGATACATGAGAATATTGAGATCTCATGTATCCCCTAAACTAATAATAATAATGACAATACATCATCCTGAATCAAAAAGATGCACCCACCATCTAAAACACATATTTTGAACGATGATGACTTGAAAAATACCAGTTTAGAACTCCATTCATTATTACTTCAAAGAAAGATTTAAAAAATTGACATCTTACTAATTCCCTTGCCCTTTCACATTGCCTGAAATTTCTCCCTCGAGAAAGGTTTCCCCAAATCTGTCATGTCATGACCCCTTTTAGCACTGACGTACTCGCGATAAAATTTTCTAGGAAATTAATTCATTTCAAGGCAACTACATGTTTTGCATATTAATTAATATATTTTTCACAAAATGACTACAAATTGCATTAACTACGAAGAAAAAGAAGCAATTTCACGCAAAAATATATATTAAATTTAAAATGTTAAAAAACCGAGTAAGGACCCGGAAAAATCTAAAACAAATGTCGAAGTGTAAAATAATGAACGTGAAATTATGGATAAGATGAAAATTCTGTTAATTTTAACAAGGCAAAAAGCGCGCAACAAACGGCTTCACCATACAAGTTCGGTTGTTTTGTTTACAATCTGTTAAAGCTGTGTCTTGTAAAATTCATTTGAAGAAAGAAGTATCTTGAGGGTGAACAAGTGACAATTATGTTAAAAAATAAATCAAAAACCCGCCCCCAATGGCAGAAGATATTTAAAAACAGCATTCGGAGATTATTTACCTGAAGGTGAATGTGGAAGCCCTTATCCTTGTGACCATACTGTGAGATAAGTCCACTAAAATTCAATATCGATGAATAACCATCGAACCAAAACACATAGAATCAGAGGTCCTCGGTTTGACGTTTAAACATACAGAACGGTTCTCTTGTGAAGTGAATGTTGTAACTGCAAACTGATCGTAAATTCGACTGCTAAACGCCGACGGACAGAGTCTTCATAAGGAGCATTTGAGCGAACTTCCAAACACACGCGATATCAAGTTATTTCCCCAACACACGCGATGATCGCAGGATTATTAGAGTTTTCCCTAAAAGCCGAATTTAAAAAGTGCAATTCAACCTGCCGAGTATGAACGCAAAGTTTGTCTAGGTAAAATATAGGTTAATATGTAATATGATGCGTTCGAATGACAAACCTGGCACTTCATGCAGCGCTGGTGACGAATATTAGATAAGTGCCTTATATGACGGAAGTGCAAGATGGTTCAAAACTGAACATCGGCGGCCTATAAAATAAATCACTTCATATACCGTCGTCCTTCAGCAAACGAAAATCAAGTTTCAAACGAACACTCCGATCCAGAATGTAAACAAACAAAACTGTCGCTTTCGACCGTATGCTTTCAGAATGTGAGTTTTAACAACGTCAGGTTGTGATGAAGACAAAGTTAATTAAAACGCAGCTACGTAGGCTTTCGTGACTCGTTGTGAGGTTTCATGCAATACGTGTAAATTGTAAACAATTCGTTGATTGAGGCAGTTAGCAATAACAAAATAGGTTTCGGTCCCTTTCAACACAAATGCGCACACACCAGTGAAAAGTAAAACGGCCTTCGTTAATTAAGTTGCCAATTGGCCTTCTTTTGAATCCTGCACGTGCAAAAACGGGAGACGATTTACTGTTGTAAGCAATGACTTAACATTGCACTTGCAGAAGGAAACAAATCTTGAAAAGGTGTAAGTCAACAAGCCTTTCTGAGTCCTGCCGCTATGATAAAACGTCTTGTCGCAGTATAAGACGCTTCTGCATCGCTGACGGCTTTTGAAATAGAGCTCATCAAATTACTCCTAGTCAGTGATGACGTTATGGAAAATACATTTCACTTTCGTTAAAGAAGCTGAATTACAAATGATAATATTGCCCGGAGATCCCTAGGTGATGGATGGGTTTTTATTTATTCTATTCATTCCAGTATTTTTAATGACATGCAAAATGCTCCTGGTCGCATTTCTGCCTTGCCAAATATCCGAAAACGAGATAATCGTCGTTTTGTACAACACTTTTTCCTTTTCTAACGTTAATTTCACTTGTTGTTTTCTAACTAAATGTTGTTTCCTGACGATGTCGTTAAAGGTATTTCATCATTTCGCACGTCACAAAATAAAAGCGTCTTTTCTCGAGCCTCTCTGCTGAGAGAAAGCCTCTTGTTGACGTAACTACAACATGTAAACAATAAATTCAATGGTGTCCGGTCCGGAAAGTAATCTGCACAGGCGAAAAAATGAAAGCCTTTTGTATCTTTTGTTTGTATGTTATGTCGATACTGCTCATCAGCAATGAAGCCTAGTCACTTTTTGCTATGAGTGTAATCTCTAACGCAAGCCGTTTCATTCAGTTTGTAGCTGTTTATCTTTCTTTCACATGCCTTAGAGTTTCGATAAAGCTTTTCGAATTCATTTCTGTCAGCCCGTGCACGTTCTTAGAAGGCTGACTCCTTTAACAAATAAATCACAAATAAATCAAACACACTCAAACATATGCACACGCAAAACCATCGAGAATAACTTCCATCAGTGAGAATTTGTAATGATCACAGAAATGACAGAGGCCGACATCAAAATGATTTCTGAGAAATAGTCTCATAGAGCGAAAAAAGGGAAACAATTACATTTAGATCTTTAAAAAAGGATCACTATGTAGGCAATGATTCAGCAAATGTTACTTTTGACATGCAAGTCGTCGTTCTTTATCCATGACGTGCCACTCGAAAAATAAAACAGCTGCAGGGGAATTTGTTTGATTTTTTCAGTTTTTGTTTGTTTGTCAGGTTTTTTTTTTTATCGCATCGTCACCTTCGTGATCTGTCATTTACAGGTGCGAAATTACAACGTGACTTCTCATTCGGTACAGATTACTCATTTTGATATCACTTTAGACATTACAATCTTGAATCATTGGGCTAACCAGTGATAAGAGTAAAGAAAATCATCAAACTCTCCTGTGGCTGAAACCGACGAGTGGACATAGTCTGCTAAGGAATCCATGAAGACAACTATAACTAAGAGAGGTGAATTTGTAAGGTGACCGACGACGACCACTAACTAATGTATTTCCTTGTTTAATTGCGAGTCGAAGAGACCCAACTACGACTGAACATGATAAATTTACGTTTTTATCGTCATTTTACGAACTAGTCGGAAATGCTATGGACAAATAAGAGTGTGGGAAATGCAAACCTTTCTAAATGACCCCTTCCTTAAAATCAAATTGTCGGTTAGATAGAAAACCTTTCGCGTTTCCTAGCCTTTTCGAAAACTGGGATTCTACTGAAACAAATTGAAAACGACACAAAACCGAAAAAGCCGAAATCAAACTCGTAGCTGATTGAATTAAAAAAGAAAAACTCGGTCACAATAAAAAAATGAAAATTTACTTCAGAAATTCCTTTTACTTGTTCCTTTATGAGCTTTGAGTTCTTCTTTAAAATTTCAGCTGTGTTTAGTTTCCTCTGCTAGTGAAAAGCGGCGGGAGACCTTCCTACATGAAACCAAGTCACGCTAGCTGCTATAGAGCCTTTCACAAGTTGCAACACCCCAGCTTGTCAGTATCACTTTTTCACGTGATACTGTGATTTCACGTGATTCCATACATTGAGAAATAATAGCCATTTATTGATACCTGTCTAGACTTAAGCATCTTTTTTATATACTTGTTTTTTCAACAAAAAGCATCGATTCATCCAGTGCCTGTGCTCAAAAACATTGCGTGACTACAAATTGATCAAGTCAAAACGGGTAATGAAGTTTACAGTTGGATAAAAGAATAAATAATCAGTTCGAACGTTTTGGCCTCTTTTATAAAAAATTTATTCATAAAAAAGAGAAAAAGATCAGGAGACTAAAAAGCATTTCAAATTTTTCTTATCACGAGACACCTACTTTACGCGGCCGTATCAGTCGAATTGAGCATCATCGCGATGACGTCTTCAATCATGGGTGAACGTGTGCTATAACGCCTTGTTACGGACATGCACTGAATTATAATAAACTTTTGAGAAGGTCAGACGTGAAAAAAACTTGTGAGTTTTAATTTGGATTTCATTACTCCATTCGTAGGTTTGTTTGATTTAGCCTCTTATATTAGGACAGTTTGGGATTATGTAAATAAAACATGTTAAGGAGCTTGCCAACCTGACCAAAACAGAAACAATCCCCCCCACTCAACCGATGTGTTGCTCGTAGGTTTTATAAAGGTCACGTACAAGTTAGAGCCCGCAGTACAGTAAATTTTGGTCCTCAATGAGATACCTGGGATGAGTCAAAAGTTTAACTCCAATCAAACTGCCACAAAGACGAACTGATGATTCAGGAGTAAACAAATGATACTTAACAATGTCAATATCAGTTTCAAAATTCTCATTTTGGGTTTCACAGCCTTCCTTGATGGAGTATTTGAATGTGAAGAGGAGTCAGTTAAACGGTTTTATCTGCATTTCATTATACTTTAAGTGGTTCCTGCCAAAATTTACGCGAATTAGCTGTAACATGCGTGCTCCACACTGTTCGTCACAGCTTTACATAATCACAAAAATTACACCTCCAAATTAAGCGAATGTAAACATTTCTTTGTGGAGTAGAAATCGTCTCCGATCATAATCAAAATGAACTGATTTTCATGGCATCTCGGTATAAGCATCGATAACAAAATTATGCGCGAACATGGTAAACCAAACATTGTTCTAACACAAATACGAACTGTTGATTCCGGCTTTCAACTGACAAACAATATCGAGCCGTGTTAGCGCGAATAACACTCACACCCTCGTGAATTAAGGCTGTATCACGAGAGATAGTATAGCAATAACTCATACAAATCTTTATATTTTCAACTTTTAAAAGAAGACTGGCTGCATTTAATAAGCACCGACGCTCAATATAAACAGTAAATCGTTGTGGTAACAATTCCTTCGGTTAATTAAGCAACAAATGCCCGAACCAGCCACTTAAATATTTCTATGGTTTCGCAACTTACCGATTTAGTGTTTGGTTTTGTTGATCTACTTCCTCGGCCAGACGCAATGTTCCAGGTGGACTGGAATATCGTTTAAATTGAAGCGATGGTCGAGGTAGATATCTCCCTGGCGCTTTATTTTCTCCCACACTTAGACTAGCTGGCCGCGGTCGGTCGGGTGTGAACGTTTGTCGCTTTTTGGATAAATCCATGTTGTTTCGCTTCCGTTTGGAGTCTGGTCCGTAGTGGTTCAAATAAATTCGTCACGGATCTCTCATAACACTCGACAAAAAAATATATGACATGAGAATTTCGAGTCACACGTGATGAACACAAATTGGCGAAAGTAACTTTGACCCTTGGATAAATGCAAGGTGGATCTAACGAGCTTGAATCAAGTTAAGAATTCATGTTGAGCCTTTAACTGCTCTAATGGCGGAGTAGACTCCAATCTTCCTTACGTCAAAGGTTTCCGCCGGTTTATTTTTCTTCACATAAAACACTTCACGTTTTCGCACAGACCTCTGGCGATGATTTTCTCTTTGCGAGAATTTTACATTCTCGGGACGAACGTCAAACCGACGTGGCCAGAATTTAGCGACCGGAGGATAAAGGAGACGTGAGCGATTTCACATACTGTAATTCGCCATCTGTTTATGCCCCAGGGTCGAATCCACGATGAATATAATTAGGTATCTTTGAGACTGTGCAAACCACTTATGTTTGCTATGTCTAGGTATCGTACCGGAAGTAGTCTGCTATTGGACGCCAACAGAGAAACCTGTCAAAAGCGCTCTCCATTGTGCTTAAAACAATTACAAAATACAGTCATGAAGACATGTCTTACGAATGACCACACAGAAAGCGTTTTCCTTTTACAGTTAAAATATGTTTATGCTCTGACCCACAAAAGAAGATGGCATGTTAATTCAATCACAGACCTGCACTACTTTGAATTTGAATCACAATGTAGAGTGTGGAAAGCATTATTCTTCATTTACAATAGAAGTCGGTGACCAATATAGGTATATTGAAATTTGTCCGGAATTAGGAATGATTTTTTTTCTGAGGACATAGAATACAAAAAAATTTTAAAAAAATTCTCACCCGCTTCATTTGTAACCGAACTGAACAAAACGCTCAAAACCTAATAACTGCTGACTTATGACTCTAATCTCTAATCAAAAGATAACTGTATTAATTTATAATGTATTCAGTTTCAATGATTTTGTTGCTTATCATCGGCCTTTTTAGATAAATTTTTAAAACATCAGTGAACAGGAAGAGAAATTTTACGGTTAAAAACAGTAGTTTCTCCCTTCTGGAGAGGTGCTTTACTGATATATCCACTGAACACACCACGCAGTGAATGCAGGTGTAAATACTTATTAAAGGAGCCTCTGTAGGGGGGGGGAGAGGAAAGTGGCTACATTGTTGTTTGAAGTTATTTGTATAACTAAGCCGGTTGGTTACCAGCTATCTTAGAAAGAAAACCGCAACAACTGGAGGAAAAGCCATGAGACAAGAAGCGCCTGTGCATTAGCCGTAACCCACCTCGTGTCAGGCGCACACTTTCAGAGCATGTAGGTTGTCTCATTCGAACAATCCAACATCCGCTCGCTGACCATCCCACCACCCACTTTCTCTCTTGGACACGTGCTTGTTAGTATCGAGGAGGAATAGCACGGTTTCCGAGGTGGACATGCCATATTAGTAAAACTATTGCAAACAAAAGTGCCCACGCTACAGAAAAAGAAAGAAAAAAACCGCAAAGAAGTCACCAGACACAAATAAAATAATACATCTTTTATTTTGAGGTTCAAGCCCTTTGTTAGCGTCATTATGTACAACTCTCGCAACTGAGCTGGCGGTGTTAGATGTAGGGAATGAGGAGTATATACAGCTATATACAGATACACTTCTGATTAGCCTTAAAAATCATGATTTGAACGACAACCATATTTCAATTAACTTTTAATAGTGATTGAAAATAAAGGAATTTGAACTTAACTTAAATCATATAAAATTTTATTAGCAGTGACAAAAATTTTGATCAACAACACCGATTAATATGCTCAATAAATACTTTCATAAAAACGCATAAAAACAGTTTATAAAGAATCACTTAGATTCAATTCTTAAAGAAATCTACTTGTGATTAAAAAATAAAGATATCATCATCTTTCATCATAAAAAGGAAAACCGGTTTTACAAAAATATGCTCCTTGCACAAAGCAAACAATCCTTTAGAAACTCATCCGAAATTCGCATTAGTACGTAAACGTCTGTATCTCATTTTAACTTTTACTAATTTAACGTGTGCGTTTAATTGGACGAAGAACAAAGCGAATAGCCTGTCAATAGACAGGAACGGCGAAGACTTCACAGTAAATTTATAAGCTATTAGAAAAACATCAACGCTATACTCTTCATCATATCAACCTAATTGTTCTACTTATACATTTAATTGGCAAGAACTTGCTCCTCCTTTCATCTCAGCCCACCCCCCCCCAACCAATTCCAGTAGATCCATGGGTGAATCAAGCCATTGGAAAAATGATTTACGACTCTCCTCTTCGGAAAATCGACCTGATCGACCTGATTTTCTGACCTCGAGTCCTCGAGGACGGAATTCCACCGCCTGCTGCGGCAACTAATTTATAGCTTATCCATCACACAGTATATTATTATATAATCATTATGATTTATTGCACGTCACGGATGAAAGTGACGCGTAAAGATGTTTTAACTCAGTTATTTCTTCCTTCCTTTCGTTAATTTTTCTTTGATAATCTAGTACAAATGTCTGTTGCTCTTCTTTTGCTTTTTTCAGTTCTATTATGATGTCTGCGAGGTTTTTCTGTGTAAATGCCGACCTTGTTCTCTGTATCTCGCTCTTAAGCTCTCCTAGTCTTGTAACGTTCACCTGTTGTAGCCTGGCTGCTTCTCGAACCACGTGATCCACATTCAAGTTCTTGGCTGCAGCATCAGCTTGGTCTGCCGCTTTCTTTGCTAAATATGCACTTCTCAAAGCGTCAGACGCTAACTTGGAATAGTTACCTTTACATGTATCAATATGTTGATGGGATGACGAGTTAATACTGGTGACATTGTGATCCACCTCACTGTAGTATCCTGTTGTGTACTTAGACTGGGCTGCAGCTTCAGATACTTCGTTTGCGTCGGCATGAATTGTCGTCACAGCCTTTGTAAATAACAAAGATAAAAGTCAGCTCAAAGGAACTCAAGATATGAAAAACATCCTCGTCCTATCAACGTACTTAGTTGATCCAAACGAGAGACAGTCCTTATTAATGATCAGAATCACAGAATGACACAAGTAATCGGTACCGAGAGCGGAACAAAGAAGACTGAAAAAAAGAAAAAGGAAATGAAACTGAAAAAAAAAAAAAAAAAAAAAAAAAAAAACGGATTGTCAGCTCTTGTTAGTTCCGAACACAGTCAGTTCAAATGAGTGTTGGCTCGTTTTGAAACAAAACAATTTCAGAGGCATGAAGGGTATCCGGTGAAATAGGGCTTCCTATTTGAATTTCGTACAGTTTGTCATCGTGTCTGAGCACACCTGCACATGATTGTAAACTAACATGTGCATAGTTTACCTGGTTCTCATGAGTTGAAATATTCCATGCTTGTTGCGCAAAGTTTAGTCCTTTAGTAGCCACTGCCAGTGTGGCTTGTAGCGAGGCGTTGATACCCTGAGCGAACTGAATGGCATTCAAGCTCGTAATGTTAGCCTCCTTGGCTCGCATTAGAGAAAGTTCAGCAAAATCCTGTGCTTCCTTTGCTTTTTCTTCGAAATTTTGCAGGATCTGTAACATTTCTTCGGCGTCTTCTAAGGTCTTGCTGGAAAGTTGTACAGCATCAGTGGCTTCTTGTTTAGCCCGATGCGCTTCCGCTAAGATTGCTTTACCAGCCGACTCGGTTCTATACACGCGATGTGTCAAGAGTTTCACTTCTTCAGCAGCTAGCTCGACTTGCGTGGACAAATTGGAATATAATTGGGTCAAATTATGCGCGAAAGAGATCAGCTCCTGTGCTTGTCTGCTTGCATGCATCGCTGCTTCTTCGATCTGAATGACCACGTCTCTGTTGTCAGGATCCAGCAGCATTAGCTCTGATAAAGTCTTGTTAGCTCCTGACAAAACTGACGAAGCATTCACAGACAGCTGATATGCTGTTGAGTTAACGTATTCACCCAGGGCTTGCATGACATCACCATGCATTCGCAGAGTCTGAAGGGAGACGTCAAGATCCTTTTGCCCCTTTATGGTGCTATTGGCCACAATCTGAGCTTTCTTTAGCTGAGAATTAGCGTTGTTAACCTTATGTTGAATCTCATAGGCTGTTTTATTCTGACCGGAAGCTGCTTCCGTGAAATTGTTTGCCAACGCGGTAAACTTGGGTACCAGCTTACTAAGATCATTGGTGATAACCTCGGCCTTACGGACAGCGCGATCAACAGACATGTTCAGAACATTACTGCTGTCCCGAACTGCTGCACGAATCAGCTGGATTAGCTCTTCTGTTCTGTTCTTATTCCGCTCCGGAGCAGTGAGGTTATCTGATAGAGAGCTCACACCAGGAGTAACCTCGTACATTAAGACTTGTTCTAGATGATTAAGAGACTCGTTCAGCTGCTTGATTTGATTGGTCACGTTACTCTCAATTTCACGAGAACGTTTTGCATCATCTACCAAACTGCTGACATATTTTTCTGAGTCAGCAAGACGCTGGGCGAAGGAAGCATCACCAATATTTCCATTGCGCAGCCGTTGAATTGTGTCGTCCAAGGAGAGTAAACTCACTCGAAGTTTCTTAACTTCCTCGTAAATCAGACGGTAACACTCAGGACAGTCTGAAAAAGAAAAAGTAATTATTATAGTAATATTCGAAGGTTAGTTAGTGAGCGTTAACCATTTTATTTCTTTTATTGTCACACGCCTGCTTGTTGCTGGCTGCGTTCGCCGAATCATCACAGAGAAGAAAAATAGCCCTTTGTTATAGCAGTCGACGTAAGTAGGTAAGAACTTCCGTAAATCCGATCGAAATTTTGGAAACTAATTATCCGCTTGCTCCACGCGATACCATACTAACTTCTAGAGAAGTTACTCTGTTGTTATAAATTAAATAATTCCAAAAACGGTTCAAACGCTATTACCTGGTGACTGAAATATTTATTGAAGCTGGAAAGGATTTTACAGCAGTCGTAGTGACGATAGTAATTATAAAGAACCTGTAATATGTAGCAATCAATTTCTTTCCTCACTTACCAACACATCCGTTGCTCGTGTTGTAAGCATTCTCATGGCACCGGTCACATTGCCGTCCACCAATTCTTGGCTTGCATGGGCACTGACCAGTTGTCTCATTACATACAGTGCTATTTCCGTACAGTGTGTTGGGTTCAACACAGGCACAGTCTGAAACACGACAAAACAGAAAACATTATAAAACACAACTTTTGAAACAGCTTCCTGTATAAGACTTAGAATTAAGCCTGACATTTCACGTGTTTTTCCAGTCTACACTAGAAAATACAGTGAAATGTTATCAATATCGTTTATAATATTTAGTTCTTAAACCAGTTTTTTTGTAAGTCTCACATGAGAGTAGTATTTTAGTGAATTTGTGCACTTATTTTGTTTGCATTGCAAATCAATCACCAGCAGGTATTTAGAACAAAGCTGGTCTTCAAATAGACGTAAATGAGCATACAGAGTGCAAAAGGAGGACCGACACAAAAGATAATACACAGAGGAGAACCCAAACTCCGTTTGTTAAAAAATATATCTATTTCAGCTTAAATCTCCTTTTTAATAGAAAATGCATTACCTCGACAGCCATCCGACGAAGGAGTCAATCCAAAGTATCCAGATACACAGCGTCTACAGTCAGTAGTGTTATCCACGTTTGATTGACACCTCTCACAGTGTTCGCCCTCAGATCCCATGCGACAGTTGTAACACGTGCCATTCTCAGGGAAACACTCCTTTGAACGACCAGCGCATGAACACAGCACACACGAGCTGAACACTCTTGACGGCTGACTCGGGTTAGGAGTTTGGCGTGTAAATCCTTGAAAAAAAAAAAAGAGTTACAAATTTTCCAATTATTACTGAACTAATCCCACTTTAAATTGTAATTACAGAGTTACCAGTGACTGTAGTAGTACCTTACCTGAATTGCAATATCCACACGACAACTCTGTGTAATTGTTGGGGCAGGTGCAGTTTTCAACATATCCTACTTCTTCTCCAACGCCTCTGGTAGCAGTAACCATCTCGGCAGATATTGTAACAGAGCCATTGGCCATAAAATGTCCTTTTATTTCAACATATTTAACATCCACGAGGATACTTTGTAAGTCAAAGGCCGATAAATTGTTGAGGGCGTAATGTTCATGGAGTCGAGCCTGATATTCCTTGTTTTCCAACGATGGACGAGGTGTTATGCTGAAGTGCGCCTCTTCATTCTGAGTGTTTCTCAGTGTGATGGTCCACGAAGCATTCGAACTTTCAGCATCAGTATAACTAATGTTCATCATGAATAACTGACTGTAAGATGAAAGTTGGTTTCCCTGAAAATTATCCTCGATTTGAAATGACACAGTGCTGTTGGATGGAAAATCAATTTCAATGTCAGATCCTTTCGATTGGAGTTTTATAGTTTTTGCTTTATCAATGCTCTCTACTCTTGATGAGAAGTTAGCTTTAACATAGCCTTTAACAAAGCCAGCAGCAGAGGAACAAACATTGGATCGATCAAAACAGAAACACGGAGAGCATCCATCTGGATTCTGAGGGTCACTATTGTAAGTTCCATTTTTGCATCTTTCACACTTTTCCCCTTCAGCATTGGCTTTGCATGTACAGATCCCTGTGTTAAGATGGCACTGCAGTGAGCTTGAACCTCCCTCATGGCAGTTACAGGGTCTGTAAAGGAAAACAAGCAATAGATTAGCATGCAATAAGTACACTTATCACAAAGTTGACTGAGATGTTTTCTTCCTTAAAAAACAGTGCTGGATGTTGTCTTAAATTTTTGAATGCTGATAAACCCCCCACCCCCCAAAAAATAACCTTCTGTTTATAGTTTACTTTTTAGGCACTAGAGTTGTGTTCAGCAGCCATTTACAGAAACCTAGTGAAGGTCTTAAAACAAATTAAAATATCTGTACCTTTGGATATTGGCTCTTTGGATATTGGGTGAAAGTAGATTACACAAAGCAGCCTGTAAAATTTTAGCTGGGGAGGGAGTCTTCTTAAACCATTCCTGACCAATAGCTATTGACTGACTTTGCCAATCTTTAGCCTTTGCAGTGTGCATAAAAAGGATGGAAAACATATATATTTCGTTTTTGGCCAAGGTAGCCCACTGTTATGAACTTACATTTACTATGGATTGTTTAAAAAACGCGCACACTTACTGGCATCCCTCTGATGTGAAATTGAAGAAGGATTTACGACACATGTCACATTTAGTACCATTGGTGCTGTTCTTACATGGGCATGTACCATTCTTGTAACATTGAAGATCTGAAGAACCACTTGCATTGCATTTACACTCAAAGCAGCCTTGTCCTGATTCAAAACCATAGTAAGTTGCATTGCACCTGCTGCATGTCCTTGTCACAACACCAGGCCTACATGGACACTGACCAGACACAGGATCACAGACCAGATTGGATGAGCCCAAATCACTGCATCCACAAGCTGAGAGGAAAGCAAACATAATTTTACCTTCTTTTAAAGGCTTTCAACTGAATCAGTACTAAATTTGAAGGCATGAAATATTCTCATTTTATAAGTTTTCTATAATTTTGTTGTACATACCTGTACATCCACCATCAGTAAAGTTAAAATATCCTGGTTTGCAACGATCACATGAATGTCCTGTCACTCCTGGCTTGCAATAACACTGACCTCCTTGCTCGTGACAGGTGGTACCATTCTTAGTGCCCGTACTGTTGCATGAGCAAGCTATCACGACAAACAAACATGAGTTGAAATGGGGTCAGTTAGATCAAATGACCTACAAGGATGATCACTTGACAAAAAAATCTGTTTGGAAGTAAAATGTATGGATAACAATATTATTCATACATTATCATGTAGGAACTACATGATAATGTAGACTTCTAATATTTAGGTTATACTTAAGAGAAGGTAGAATGAGGGAATTTCACCATTATGGTTCAAGTTTATACAGCTATTGTAATTAGTAATTCCCGAACTGACAGTAGAGTGGCACCCTTTCCATGTGGATTGTCAAAGTGACAAACTGCTGTTATGGCCGTTACAGAGACAACTGCTGGTGAAAAATCTCAAGAAATTCATCTATTACTAAATAACCCTAGAACCACTAACCTATAGCTCCATCAAATACTTCAGCCATTGCAGAGAAGGTAACATTCTGACATACTGGTGTGTCAAAACCACTTTGAGACATGGCAACAGTGGTGGATTTGTTCCAGCAATCTTCAATCTGTTGCTGTGTCATGCCATGAACAGAGCCATCTCTAGTAGCAATCTCATAAATCCTAACATCCCTCACATTTGGAAGTAAAATCAGGGAGTCTATTTCAATTGAGGTGTTATTGTACATTCCACTGACATAAGTCAAGTTCACATGATACACTTTGCCTCTCAAGAAACGAACAGCCTCTTGTGATCTCCAAGCTAATCCAACTCCATGAGGCAGATGTGAAATTGAAAAATTATTTGCCTCATAGCAGTTTGATTCATTGCAAGAACTAAAAGAGAGTAATAGTGATATGTTGGCCTTCTCAGTGCTGGTGTAGCGAATAACTATGTAGAAGTCCCTAAAGTTTGTGGATAAGTTAACAGTGAAAGAAATAAACTGATTGAGTCCAATCTTTGCATAGCCTCTGCCAGTAAAATCTTGTTCCACCCCAGTGAAGTTGGAGGTAGCTTCATAATTTCCCATAGCATCTTCAGCTTCATATTTCAGGTGGTCAAAGGAAGCAACATAGAACCCTGTTCTAACCGCAGTACACCGTTCTCCTTCAATATGGCTTCGGCAGAGACAAGTTCCTTGAACATAAGATGTAAGTTAATTTTTCACCATACCAAGAGGTTAATGAGGATAATAAAAATATTGCTTAAGGTGTAACTTTACACAATGGACAAGTTGAGTTCTTCCTGAAAATTTCCTTGCCATTTTCTTCACAAACTTCACCTTCAAAGGCAATTTGCATTCTCTTTTAATAGACATTGGGTTTATAAAATTTTACCAAACAGTGTATTGTTAGGTGAAAATCGGGTTAAATATTGACCTGAAAGAAAACAATCATGGTTAAGCTTCTTCTACAGTGCATGCGTCATAAAGAACATTTTGCATCTTGAAAGTGTGGAACCAGTCAAATTTGTAGCCAATAAAACATAAAATTTAAGTTATATTATTTTCTTGATAACAGTAATTACTGCATTCCACTTAATGGTGTACCAACATTTTCTAATTAATTAACGGAACTAACCATTCACTTTTTCACAGATCTCCTGTACACTTCCACCATAGTCACAGTCACACTGAAGACAATCACTTTCAATGGTTTTTGGAAATGAGTAGAAACCGTCTTTGCACTCTGAGCAAGTAAGTTGATGAACATTACTCTTGCATGGACACTGCCCAAATGTCTGATTACAACTTAAGCTTCCATTAACCGTTCCATTTCCATTACAACTGCATTCTACAATAATTAAAGCCAAAATGACACAGTCAAAAAAGGGGAACACATCATTTTGAACCACTGGAGTTTCTAAGGATTGAAAGGCACTTGAAATAACATGTTTATTCACTCTCTTACAGCCACTCTTCCTGTATACTGATTGCATCAGTTGCCTGACATTATTCATTATTATTTTGTGAAACATAAAAACAGGTTTTAAAATCAAAAAACCTCAAAATAGAATGCCACCTCATCACCATGGCCATAGCTGTGATTTTTGTTAGACCAAATTGCTCAACTTTCTATTTTTGACTTTGTCACTTTGTAACAGAGAAGTGACCAAGAATTAATTATACAAAGTCAAGCTCTCTAAACTGGTAATTTTCACTGAATGTGTACTTTTTCACCATCAGTAATGGTTCTTTGTTTTCTTACTCTGATCAAAATAATACTTACAGGGATAAATCTAGCCCCTGTGTAAACACAACCCAAGTAGATTAGCGTTATTCACTTACCTCTACAATCCCCTAATGGGGGTAGTTCAAAACCCCAGAACGTGTCCGCACAACGGTTACATTGCCGACCTGTCACATTTTGCTTGCATTCACATTGTCCAGTAGTTTGATTACATGTTCCATTGTTAATGATTCCAAACATGAAGCAGTCACAAGCTGAAATTCACAAATGATAGCAGAGAATTACCATCTATCTAACTTAGGCAGGTCTATAGATGAAAAGTAAATTAATCATTAATTTCCTAGAAAAAAGCTTAAAGTACACTAGCTTTAATTGTAAACCCCACAGTCAAGTCCATGGATTCAACTTGCCTCTTAGGGCATCAACCAAATCAAAATTTAGAAGTACTTGTACTTTTCCAGGTTTCCACGCAAATATTGAAGTACACATATCATATTGTATATTCCTGTCATGAAGCACATTGCTTTTCATTACTTACATAGACAAACTTCAGGATCATTTAGTGGCTTGCTCATATTACGATAAAACTTTTCACGACAACGTTCACAGAACATCCCAGTAGTGTTATGGTAACAGTCATCACAGATTCCATGATCAAGGGTTTTGTTATAGTGACAACTGTCTGCATGATCGTAGCACAAACATTCTGAAAGAGCAACACAAATGATCCATTAACAAACAAAATGATAATAATTATGACTACTACTTAGTCTGACTTAGCAGAGCTGTAAAATGGTAGTAATGCATGTCCCAACTCTCACTAAAGAGTCCATTAACATTAATATTAGTATCTGAACAGTCCATGTTACATTGTAAGTGAAAGCTTTGAACAAGAAACAAATGTAGCATAACCATTATTACTTTGGCAGAAAATACTTACATTTTATATATAATAAATAATATAGATATATATATATATTTTGGAGAGAAATGTACCTGCCTGAGGAAAGCTAAATCCTACCACATGAGGAAAAATTATGTAGGATGATTCTCATGGCCAAATTTACATAAGTAAAATTTTGTGTGACATGTTTATTCAACACTTCGAAATGCAACATTAAGCACGATTCTATATTACCAACATTCAGTTGGTGATTATTCTCGCCCTTCGATCTCTGGCACAAAACTTCGCCGTAATAAATTATTTGTTTGCATAGGATTAACTGCTAAAATAAAGGTAACTTTCATTATCGTCACAGTTGAAAATTCTTCTGCATAGACGTATGATTGTACACTTGTACTCCATGGAGACTCTATTCGCAATCATTTGTCAAAATAAACATCTATTTTACTTTCAACGAGATTACTCACTTTATTTGTTAACGTGAGGCATGATCGGTTCCACCAGTAACGGTGTATAGTAACACCTTTTTGAAAGACGCGTAACGCTTTCGATCAATGTAAAGCTTCATTTAGCAATAAGTATTTTCCACAAAGTATAGTACAACTAAACTGACCCTAGAAGAATTGCATGTTAATCGAGGTGCAAATGTTACTGACTGGATAGGTCCTTGATCATGAAAGCCCAGTTCAATGTGTCTACCCCATCCTATCAAATTAAATTTTGTGTTAAATAAAAGCGATAATTCCAAGCTCCCATGGGTTTTAAACAAAACAGTTTCTCCTCACTCGGCGATGTTCAGGCGATTTAAAGAGAAAGCCCCGCGGCTCCATACACTTAAACAGCTGAGAACTGTTTCCAGCGAAAATTTTTAAGGAGCAGTCGTTGTGGTTTTTCTAATTTTGTCTCCAAATTGGAAACATCTGCGCAACGATGCTAATTATGATACGCACAGGTTATTGTACGGATTTATGCACAGCTCGCAAACTCGATGGCAATATTCACGCGGAAATACCTGTATATCACACACCAATATGGCGAGAATAAGAAGTACAATATACAAGTATTATTTCTAAGTACTTACCTTCGCATGGATTAGGTTCGCTGTTTGAATAAGCCGGTCTCCAGGTTTGGTTGTTGTAGAGCGGTTTACACTTTTCACAGTCGTCACCCGCTGTATTGTGAATACAGTCACATAGTGATCCATTTGTGTACGGAAAATCGCAGTAATCTGCGTGCCCGTGGCACTGACATCGGGCATTTACTCTAATGTCCGCGATTGAATAAAAGTATTGATTAAAGATGTCTTCCACTACATTATCAACATTCTCCAGTCGATCTGTACCGGGATACAACAATCGCAACCGAAGATCCGTGATCGTGAAGTATTCTTGCAGTGTTCCGTTCCAGAAGTCAGCTTTCTCGTATCGCTTCAAAAAGTCAAACACCACCTGGCCGCCTTTTTGAGGCGTCGCAGAACTGTAGTCTTGCACACAATGAAGACCAAAGTTACCCAGTGTTATGCTTTCGACGGGCGTGTTAGATAAATTAAATTTCTCTTGGCAGTCGTCTGCGTAGTATTGCAAAGGCGTCCATGTCGATCCTTTATCCACACTCTTCTCCAGAATCATTTTAAACGGTCGAGGAGAGTTAAAAGTGATACGAATTTCTCCTGTTATGGCATAACTCTTGTTAAAGGAAAGAGTAACGTCTACCACGAATGGTTTGTTTGTGTAGTTGTTATTCTTGTACCATTCCCACCAAGTTACAGATTGCCAGCTCGTGTCTAAGTTACCGTCGGTCATCTTGTCCACCGAGTGATCACTACCGTTGCACAAGTCGCAAGGTCCGTTCAAGGGTTCAAAATGGCAGTAAAAGGCCGGTGGATTTCCGCACGTACTTGTAGCTTTTACAGTGTGTTTCACCAACCGGGCTGCATTCACGGGCCCAGGGACACATACATTTGCAGTGGAACATTCACAACCCACTTCTGCAAAAAAAGCCGCCACGATCGAACATATGAACGCGAAGTTGAACATAGTTGAAGTCATGGTCTCTTTTGATGTGGCAATTATCCAGTCACTTGACGATTTTTAAGCCTGTAGTGGCTAAATTCGCTTGTTCTCGATGAGATATTATTCGGCTGATCAAATTGACGAAGTGATAAATTTCTTGCAAAAGTAACGGAGTCGTTGTTGAAGCTAAGCCTTTAAAGAATAAAAGAACGTATTTGCTCGTTGTCCCTTTTGTTAGAAACCGTTGCTAAGAAACGCGACGCAGTTATTGTATGACCTCAACTTTCAAAAAAAGACAGTTGACATTAAGCACACACGATACGTATGATACAATTCATCTACAGTCTTTCGCCGAGGTATTGATGGTGAATTAAAGCAATTTTTAATTCTTAAGTCCCTCTCTACTGATCGATAATTACAAAAGCACCACTGAGAAAAAAACACAAGCACCTCTCTGAGACAAAGTATCGCAATGATTCGACGGAAGCAGAGAGGGAGAGAGATGTTGCACATGCAACCGTTGTACAAAGGAAAGCATTTGAGTCTTAAAACGAAGGAAGCTGATGAGCAAAAGTAACAGAAAAGACTAAAAAATAAATAAATAAATAAATAAAAACAAAGTCACTTCACTTCACAACGTTTTCCGACATTCCTTCACGGGGAACAATGCAGTCCTTCGTCACATTCAAATAAAAGTTCGTTTCCAGGGGTTAAGGGAAATTTGTTCTTCGTTCTCTCGTTCATTCACCTCAAAACCAGATTTGATCTGCAAAGGATCTCGTTGTCGAGGTTGAAGGCAATTGCAAATTAATCATCGCCGATCAGGATGGCCGTAGAAAAAGCTTTTATTACGAGACCAAAAATACATACACAGAATGCAGCTGGTGTTGGTCAGAAGTGAAGCAACTCTAAATAAATCACTCACTAACGGACATACACCAAAGTACTTAATAATAGAAACATCACTATCATTATCATAAGAAACATTTATCTAACTTGTTCTAGGCGTTCGGTTTGTAAATGGGGTGCGCGATGGTAGCACAGACTTGTCCCAAACCTCACTTCTTCCTCCGTACTGTGCTACCCTTGCGACTCGTCTTTAGAGCCACGTTTACACATTGAGCGCCTACACCATGCTACAGCTAATCAAGGAGGATCCCATTCCCACGGTTATCCTTACAAGACCTCAACTTTTTACACTTTTTATAACTTACAAGACCTTAACTTTTTATAAACTGAAGTGCGGGAATTTTAACTCTTCACTTAATTCGTATTTTCAATTTTGTTCAGATGAGAGATTAAGATCACATGCAAGTAATAAACTAAGAATTAATAGATTCAGGACGGAACCTTTTAAGGGAACATTTTTAAATAGGATTCCGTATCTACGGAACAATCTGCCTGATGCATTGAGGACGGCCAGCTGTAGTCGTTTCTTCTTTTAAGAGACTATGCACTATTTTTTAGAACGATAGTGGTTTCGACCCTGAGCACCCATGTACCACCAGCACTTAGTTAGTAAGGTTGTTAGTTAGTTAGTTAGATTACTCAGTTAGTAAGGTTGTTAGTTAGTTAGTCAGTTAGTTAGATTACTCAGTTAGGTAGTTAGCAGCTAGCTTGTTACATACCTTGATTAATTTTTTATATATCCGTATATTTTCTTCATAATGGGTTGACTAGCACGTATGGTTCGTCAGTTCCCTTCTAGTCTTCCCCACTGCCTTGTTATGTAATCCAATTTGTTATTATCGTGTGTTCTTTTGTTTTTTTTCCCATGTAATTGCAGTGAAATGGAATAAATAAATGCATGAATGCTTTAATTTCCAAGACGCAGATGCGAACACTGCATTGAACAGAACTCTTTCATGGATCGAGGGTTTAAAACAAAGGATCTTGAACGTGATATTCAAATATCTAACACAGTCTGTTATCAAAATTTACTTGTTGAGGCGTTCAAAGGAAAGACTACTTCAGCAGTTAACATTTATGCTTCAGCTCAGTTTGTAATTAGCACCTACTGGAGTGGGATCGAATTGCTTCAGTACTCAGGAGGCATGAATACTCGTTAGCCAGCACACATTAGTCCAACAGCCGCGACCGCAACTTGAAAGCATTKTTTAGAACATTGAGGGCGTGGGACTAAAAATTAGCCATAAAACTTTGTAGTTACCTACATAGAAATTGCATGGCTTTGGTTTTAGTCTTGCAGTGTTGTTATGACACGGTCAAAAAATATCTTCAGGCTGTGTTGAAGTGGTCTTTCACTAAGGAAGGTTGTGTTATTTAATACCTAGAGGCCTCGAGTTTCTGTCAGGCCTTGTCACTGACAATGTTCCGTGAAAATGTTGTTACAACAACTAATTCTTTCCTTGCTATTAGCAAACTGTGACAGAAGGTATAGACCTTACTAAGTCCTTATATTTCTGAACATCAGACCGAAGCTGGTGAATCTGCTCTTTATACATTGACATCTTTGTCTTCTGTAGTTGAAGATCTCTTCTTAACTCCTCTAACTGCGACTGGAGCTGAAGCCCATCAAATTGCTGTGTGGCTGAATTCACCCCTTCCTTGATAGTGGGCAATTCGTCCACACTGACTCGTGGCAAACCAGAGCTTTCATTCATCAAACGTCTGATCAAAATAATCAGCCGCTGAACAGTAATGTTTGCATGAACAGCTCTGTGAAGAACAATGTGGCCGTTGTTTGACAAATTGAACGCTTTTGTCGAGAGGTTTTTACAGAGTTTCTCTATGGGTTCTATCTTTCGAGCCATGAAGTCTTCCATAGTAGCGTTATCTACCACGTTCTCTACAGTCGTCTCGTTCCACAAACTGTTCGCCAGGCGGAGAACCTTCTTCGCCACCTTTGTAAACCACAAAAAGTAAACAATGATTACTTAGTAGGTGAAAAGCAAAGCACTAGGCGATGGAGCAAAGTAATGAATAAAAAATACAAATGTATGCCACATTATGACCACGGCGAAGTCAAACAGATGAGAGGGTGGGATTACAAGACTGAACTAAGGCGATTACACACTGATGTAGGTTTGGTATGGAGTAGAGTCCCAACCATTAGACTCGGTAAGATTGATTTAGTCACTCCAGTGAGCTTCAAACAAGTGATTGCCGTCACAAACAGAATAACTGGAGATAGAAACACGTGGTCTTACTGTCATTATTGTTTACTACTTTAACGTCTATTGCTGTTGGTTAGAAGACAAGCTTCGAACTAACACTGACAAACACGCGTACGGTACGTTGGAAAATTTTTTTGGGGTCGACAAATATATACTTTACTCGTTAATTAAGACTGAAAAGATAAACTAACAGGGTGCATACCTGCTTTTCGAAAGTAGAAAATTTTTCAACCATGTCTCCAAGCTGCAGAGCCTCTTCAGCTGTTAACAGCGAGTTTGCAGAAGATTCATTCACCGCAAAAACATTCCTTAAAATGTTGTGAGCGTTGGCCCGAGCGGAGGCAACAGTTAACAGGGACCTGTTGGCAGAAGCCTGGACCTGACGAGATTCAGCTTCAAAGTTGCTCGCGACAGTCAACATTCTTTGTGCATATTCGTGCACGTTTTTAGCTCTTGACACAGAAGCTTGTGCAGAACTCAATGCAGCTTGCGATCCCCGTAGAAGGTGTGTTCCATTCAACAACACAGCATGTACTTCCTCTTCCAGACGTAACGATCTTTCCATGGCGGCGCTGACCTGACCTGCCACAGCCGCACTGGATTGATATAGTTCGCTGGTTTGATTAAGAAAATTCTCTGCCAGATTTCTTGTCTCAATTGTCTTTCTTTTCAAATCTTGTAACACCTATATTTATAAAAATAATGACAAGTTAGTATCCATTTCCACCTTGGTCTTCTCTCGTGATACACGTTCCACCCAGAGATTGTAAACTGCAGTTTACAATCTCTTGGCCTACCTCCATTAAAGTGAGAAAATAATAATAAGAATCTGGTGTAATAATGATAAAGCCTTATAATAATAAAAGTATTAAATAATAATAATAATTAAATTACATCAAAAAATATATGAGAAGGGAAATGACACTCTTACTCTAACAAACTGTAAAAACAAATTTTAAAAATGTCTAGCCTATATTTGCCATAGCATTGTCAATTACAAAATATGTATCGAAAGTCTCAAATGTTCTTCTCTTCTTTCTATAATAATAATAATAATAATAATAATAATAATAATAATAATAACAATAACAATTATAATAATAATCTGAGCTGGGTCTCCAGCTACGGCTAAATTATCCTAACCCAAGTGTCATCGATGGACATAAAGAAGTACAGTCTAAACAGGTGAAGCCAGTAATCAACAAGTCACAACAGCAGGAGATACAATCAATTGTGTCTGAGGAGAGATTGCAAGTGAAATTCATCAGGAACAGGTAGGGCAACGAAGAAGTTGATCATGAGAAATGCTTTGCGTGGCTTTCTTCATGGAAGAATGCCCCTACACACACCATAGCAGGAATACAAGAGCTTTACCAACAGCTTCTGCCTACCAAGGTATACTACAACCGAAAGATGAGTTCGTAAGTCACTAATGAAAATTGCCGTTTAGGTGGAAAGTTCCCAGAGAACGTACAGCACATTCTATCTGGCTGCAGCGCTTTGGCGCAAACCAAGCACTCACAGAGACATAACAACGCCATTAAGATCCTATTCTTGAACCTCATCGGTAAAATGGAGCCATGGTTCTCAATAGCTGTTCCAAAGCCAATGTACGAGAATGAACGCGCTACCGCCTACTGGGACGTCGCTTTATATGCAAACATGACATTTGGTGAAAGCCAACAGAATCCATGTCACAATTAATGACAAATTAAACAGGAAAGTTGAGATGAGCTGCTCATAGCTAGAAAACAGACGGGGAGGCGAAAGACATTGAAAAGACCGCAAAGTATCGTCAACTACGATTAGAGCTCACATACAGATACCGTGGGTACAAGATCATTCAATACAGTATAATTAACAATTATTCCACGAGCGCGCGTTGGATATGAGATGATAGATAGCCAACGAGGCGCGTAGCGCCGAGTTGGCTATAATCATCTCATATCCAACAAGCGCGAGTGGAAGAATTGTTTTATTAAAAACGTTAAATTAAATTATTAAATTTTATTAAATTTTTAGCTCCCTTTTAATTTTAAGCTGCCACGTACGCTTACCATATTTGTAGATTATGGTATATTGGCTGATATACCATAATGGCTAAGCCAATAAAAAGTCTTGAATTGCATTATCCAATGATCTAGTTTTTTATAATCATAGATATCCTTGGCGGTTGCTCAAGAGAGGTGGAGCAGAATATCAAAGAACTGGTGGGAGACAAGAGTGAATCTATCTTGGGACAGATGCAGAAAGGCCATCTTGACAAGTTCACTTCATATTGCAAGAATATTTAAGCTGTGTCACTTGATATTACATATGAACAGTGGAATTTATTTCCATAGAATATTACTGAACATTAAGACATTCAAAGTATTAACAAATTCTTTTAATTATTTTTGCTTAGTTATATTTCTAACTGTATATATAGATCCTAGTCGACGCTGTGGTTGGCCACGGCTTATCACCCAGCCACAGCTATAGTTTTGTTTTTACTCTGGGCATCCACATGTATAAATATATATGATCAAGGAAGCTAAAAGAGCGTTTCAGTATTTGCAAAGGAGGATCAGTCGGGTATCCCATTAGCCCTTGTGCGTTATTATCGATGAGGTGTCACATTGCATCGAATTCGAGTGCACGCACAAGAAAGTCGACTGAATTTTAAAGGGCTGTTTGTCCTTATTCAGGAGTACGGAAGGTGATTTGAACAGTTTTATGTGTTCTTGTAACAGTTAAGTTGACTTTAGTAGTTTAGTACTTGAACTTGCTCTTCTCTAAATGGAAAAAAAAACGCCCTTGTTATGAGTGGTATGCACGACTGAGTGACTTTGTTTATGCGCTTTACTAACTTGTTTTATGCGCTTTACTGTTGTGCTATTATTGGTGGGTACTTAAGCATTTTATTCCGCCTGGTGATGCCTGAATAATGGCACTTTTCAATATTAGCGAAGGTCCCCTTAAGTCCCCAAATTTTGTAGGAATATGAAAATTGTTTAAATTGGCGCCAAAATTTTGACGTCTTTCCTCGACTGGTGTATCACCCGACCCGCTTTTGATCGATCAGTAGGCTTTGATAGCTGTATTAAATGCCCCTTTTAATACATCTGTGTTAAGTTTTGCTCCCGAATTAAGGTTAGTATCTTGTGATGGAGTGTTTTCTTTATTTCTTTTGGTAACTCAAGTCGCTTGCCACTTCTTGAGAAGACTGGCTTTTCACGGCGATTTTTCCTTTCGTCGGGTAGCAACTGCAATATTACAATTTGAGACTTGTAAGTCTAGCCAGGGCATTTCTGGGATGTTGTTGTCTCCTTCATATCCGTCATATGGTCGAATATCCGAAGCGGTAAGCGACCGATTTTCGACGCAATCGAAGTCGAAGATTATAATCACTGAACGTCTTCGATCTTCGCTTTCATCCTCTAGCTGTTTGGGTAAATTGAAAGAATATCA